AGCCAGCATTTTCCTCAGACCCTCTGGTCTCTGCCTCCCAAGAGCTGGGATTACAGGTGGGTGCTTGGGGATGAAATCACACCTTGCGTTTATATAAAAACACTTTATTCTTCCAGTAACCTTCCTAGACACTATGTGTTCCTCTTAATGCTTTTGTGAAGCTGTAAGGCATATGAGCTATAAAAAACAGTTGCATAGCCTGGTCCCAAATTCATGACAATCTTCCTGCCTCGGCCTCCGAAGTACTGGGATCACAGGTTTGAGTCTGCACGCCTTGCTTCCTATGTGGTTTTTAAAATTAGACATCTTGTTGTCAGAAAGGGGCTGACAGACTGCCCTTTTCCAAACATTTGCATGAAGAGCTCATCTGCTCTCTCTGCACAATGACAGAAAATGACATGAAAATATTTAAAATGTGGATGATGTTGGTGTATAGTGAATGTCAAAGTGAGTATAATGTTATGCCAACATTTCCAGAGGGTGAAGCGGGAGCCAGGACAACATTCAGTTTTTAAAACAACAGATTAGAAACAAGGCTGCATCGACCTCAGGCAACAGAATACACAGAATGAGCAAAACCCCAGGTGCTAAGCGACCCCAAGGAGGACTCTCACATACAACGTGTCTGTACCATTTATATACTCTGTGTCAGATGAGGCATGAAATTTAAAGCAGAACTGTACTGCACATGATTGATTTTTCTTGGCAAAAATTAAAACACTCATGGAAACTTCAGTCCACAAGTAAACAGTGATGTGGAAAGAGCAGTCAAGACTGGTGCTGACTCTCAAGGAGGTGAAGCTATGCAAGGCGGAGCTGTGTGGTTGCTTTGTATTTACAATGTGATGCGGTCTGTATCAAGAAAACTCCCTATCAACCAAAGTAAATAATTACAATAAGCCATCAAATGAAAGCTATAAACAGTCTCTGAGCACTAAGACATGAACACCATACACAGATGCTAAGAGGAAGGAGATGCTGCTGGACTTGTAAGCCTTTTGCTGAAACATAGTGGCTCTAGGTCCAAGAAATGAGAGGCCACCTTCAAAGCCTTCGGATCTGGGGTTGGGAAGGAGCAGAATCTGGAATACAGTTGCCAAACTGCAGCTCAACCACAACCCCTTCCCCAGACCAAGTTGGTTAGAGGGAGAAACACCAGGCTAAGGGACACAGGGCAGTCTCCGAAACTGGGAGGTGGAGGCAGGAAGGGGGCTACATAATGAGGCCAGCCTGGGTTAAAGCACCCACAGGGAGGATTGGGGGAGCTCAGGCAGGCAGGCCATCAGTCCTTAAAAGTCTCATGGCAGGGTAGACAATATTCTTAAATATGAAAGGAAATCCTATTTCAGATCAAAGAAATGGCGAAAGTAAATGGGGCCAGTGGCATAGATGCAGCTAAGTCTGACTCCTCATCTGAGTTCAAAACTTAGGACCCACGTGGAGAAGGGAGAGAGCCAACCCTGAAGGCTGTCAGGAACACACACACACCAAACTATTAGAATCATAAGAACCGGTTTTAATTGTGGATTGGTATCATGTCCCACTTCAGAAAGAGCAACAAGCTAATGTCCATATTGAAAGCAATGAAAAGCCTATAGAAAAGAAAGTCAAATTTTTATTTCATTTAATCATATTCATTGAGTTGTTACTTTCACTTACAAAGAGCATCTTACCAGTGTCCAAATAAACAAACATAATCATAGCATGCCAGCTGGGGCTTTATGTGAGACCCTGTCTCCAAGAGGGCGAATGAAGGACAGAATAAGTGACAAGACACAGAAAGGAGACAAAAGAAAGGCGTAGAAAGACAAAATATTAAAACTAACATATCCAAAATTTTCAATCCTGTTTTTATGCCCGAACCGCTGACACCATGTTTTCTATTTCAACTGATAACAACCCCAATTCTTCCAACCGAATGAACTTAGTCATGACACAACCAGTCTCTCCTATTGCATATAAAATGTAACAAACACACAAACAAAAATGCTGATGGTTTCTACCATCACAACATTGATGTTGGTTGTGGTAGTTTACATCTATAATCCAGCCCTGGGGAGGTTGATGTAGGAAGAATTGCCATGAAAATGATAGAACAGCAGCTTAATAAAAGTGAGCTCTGATTGGTCTGGGCTAGAGGAGAGATCCTGTGACACATAAACACATGTGCATACACAAACATGAATACATATAAACACATATACATTCAGAAAATGTCTACACACCTCTAACAAACCTGTAATGACCAATCTAGTTCCATCCTCTCTTGTTAGACCTTGTCAACGCTGTCACTGCTTTGTCTAGGTTTCTACCTTTGCCCACCCTCAGACTGTGCCTTTTCCGTACCAATTTCCACTCAAAGCAACCAAAACACAGTGTTACTCATTCTTATATTCAAAACCCACTATAGTGACCCCATGTTACTCTAAGTCAAAGTCTGCTATGATCAGGTGAATTTACTGAGCATGACACTGTTATATGGGGACACTATGCTGGACCACACCAGCCATCCTGCTGTCCCCTGAGCACACCAGGCATATCCCCAGCTCAGGTTAGATCTGCACTGTCTGTTCTTGTCGGCCTATGGTTCCCCTCATATCCATCAGGTCTTTGCTCAAATATCACCATAGCATATTAGTTACAAATACATATTAGTTACAAATAAGTGCATGTATTTACTAAGGAAAAAAGATGCTGTAGCACACATGTTTTGAAATGTGGCATAGTGATACATGAAGCCATATTAAAATAATACTACAGTCAGATGTAAATTCAAAACAATGATAAGCACAGACAGTATCTGAAGAAACAATAACTGAAGACACTTTAAGATATTATTTCACAAATAATATGATATTATTTCAGATATATCAAGGTATTATTTCCCATATAAGGTGTTAAGGACCATCTGCACTAGCCACCAGCAGCTGCTCAGGACACTGTCGTGTGTTTTCCATGTTCACAAAGTTAGTATGTATTTTAGTTAAAGCAAACTCAAGAATCTCAACCTAAGAATGTCTCATCTATTCTAAAGCCAAAGCAACGAGATAGGAGATAAAGAGATATTTACAAAGAATATACTTCAAATAAATAAACATCCTCTGGAAAACTTAAAAATCCTAACCTAAACTGGATTGGCTCCAGAAAGCTAAAAGGAAATACCCCTATATCAATTGTTATTTAACGGTTTCCTTTACTTTGCTAAAAAGGGCACAGACAAACAACGCAATGCAGCCAAGACATGATTCATTTTCAAGATGAATCCCTCCCTGCTCCAAGGTTTACATTGTTTTTAACCAGCATCAGACTGTTTACCCACACACACTGTAAATACGTCATTTTTAGAACTAACCAACAACAATACCCATTTTGTTTTGACACAGAAGACACAAAGAGAAAATGAAGAGAAACAACCACTTCTCTGAGGTCTAAGCCTCCACAAAGAGAAGACACAAAGCGTGAAGCGACTGCACCAAGTGTCAGCAGGGAAGAGGCTGCAAGTGAGGCAGCTGAACCAGCGGGAGATGTCTGGGTGAAGAATACATAGGAAGAAGCTGCTTGAAGCATCAGTGATTCCCTGCTGCAGAGAGGGAAGTGTTTTAAGATGGAGGGTGGCTGACAGTACTGTGTGTGCTCATGTTTAAATGGTACTTTACTTGACATGAACTTCAGATGGATAAAACCTAAGGACTGTATAACCATAAGCTCTCCATATAAAATACCCCAATCTTGAAAATATAAAATGGTCACTATTAAGGAGAATATGCAGCTCTCCAGAAACAAGGGAATGAAATGGCACAATCATTCTGGGGTCAATGACCAAGTGAAAATCATTGCTGGGTATGGTGGAGTACAGCTCTCCAGAGGCTGAGGCAAGATAAGTTCCATGCAACTGTGGGTTATATTTGTGCCACTTTATCTGAAACTTCAGAAAAATGAAAAACAAACAAACCAAAAACATCATAAACGATCCACCTGTGAAATGACTCAGAATTTCCAATCAAAAAAGAATAAGCATTTTACACAAAAACAACAGAAAAACTTCATGCATCATTAGAATTAGTAACCTCCAAACCAGAAGCCAACAAGTGTACTTTATGGTTGCACACAATAACTGAATAGTGGTTAGTATGCACAAGGGAGTGAGTGGGTGAGCAGGTAAAACACAACCTTTCAGAAAAGGTCAGCTTCAAACACCTCGAAACTGACTGAATTAACTGTCATTTACATAAAGCAACTCCCAAAACAAAAAGTGAAGAAGGCCATGGGCTGTAATCCCAGCACACAGGAGTCCAAGTTAGGAGGCCCAAAATCAAACTAAGCCTGGGTTACAATTTGAAGATGACTGTATCAAAATCAAAACCAAGTAAACTATCCGACACCATGAACAGATCTTATAAAAACACATCCTTTGTACACAATCAAATGGAACATATCTAAGAGTTACTCTGGAGTGAATGTATTTTTAAATGCAGGTGAACACCATGCTGTCCAGAACTTTGGTTTAATATTATAAAGAGGAGGACAGGGAAGGATTTTGGTGATGTTCCATTTATTGATCAGGGATGATGGTATTGGAATAATATGACTTTTTGTTCTCCTGTAATGAACTGGATGAATCCCAGAGAGCTTTATTTAAAAATGAAGAACAAATACAGGGCTCATGTCAATTCCATTGTAATAGCAAATATTTTTACTGAACTGCAGTCCCAGTTCACAAAGGATGTTCTGGAACACATACTCAAATGTCACAAAAACAGACTGAATCTCAAGCAAATACTCCTTATATACAGAAAACGCAAAGCAGTTAAAATACTATGAAAAGATCACCATTTGTCATGTAGGTTCACAGTATTAATTGATTTAATAAATATCAATTTCTTTAATATGCTTAGGACTTATCCACAGCACACACAGATTATAAAATTTCGCATCTGATCCCAAGACAATAAAATTCACGTCATAGAGCAAGCAGCAGAGAGAGAGGAGTGTGGGTTTACCATGCAGGGGGGAGCCGGAAGGGCTGCTGGACAGGCCTGGCACAGGACTACAGCGGCCGCCTTGCTTAGACGTCAGTTCCTGCTCAATCTCTTCCAGCCCAGCACTTTTCTGGAAACGGCTCATGCGATTCACTACTCGTGGTGACATGTGTGTGCGGACACAAGGCTGGCCACCGTAAGGGTTGATGGGGAAAACGTGGGAAGTACCCCGGAGAGTACTGACCACAACCCAGCGACAATCATGGCTGAAACAGATATCCTGAACCTAGGAAGGAGGAAAGAGACAAAAACAGCTAAAGTCAATCAGGTTTACCTCAAGACAGGAACAGAATGGATATACAAATAGAAATGGTTGCCTTGCTAACAAATTTCTTTAAAATCAATGGCAAACCTTGTATCAAAGAAAGGCAGGTGCTGAAGGAAAGACTAGTATGCCTGCACTGAATCCAGGCTCCTTTTAATTCAGCTCACCAGTGGCCCTGAGTTAAACAATGTTTCACTAAAACATAAGGAAAGTCTGGCTAGAGGGTCCCTCATTCATAATAATCCAGCATTTGGGTGGCTGGGCAGGTGTATCTCAGTTTGAGATTGACCAGGTCTACACTGAAAGGTCCAGCTCAGCCAAAGCTACACAGTGAGACCCTGTCTCAAAACGAGAAAAGGAAAAGGAAAGCACACCAGCACTGACTCAGTCTGGAAAAGCTTCGTACTGTATCATTTTCCATACAGACTATTTACAACTCACCCTTGTTTCTCTAGTAACAACATGAAGATGAACTATCAGAAAGCAGCAAGGCCATAGAAAGCAAGTGTATTTGTTCCTTAATACATACAGCAGTTGTGCTATAGTTAATTTTAATTTACACAAATACTTCTGGGCAATGAGTAATTCATTTTACATATTACACTGATTTGAGAATCTAATTTTAGCCAATCAATATTCAACGCAGCCAAAAATACTTGCATGGAACACAAAATGCACTTTAGAGTGTTTATAAATGACTATCCAACATTTTATACAAACTTAAAAGTTCCATTTAACGCACAAAAAAAATGTCAAATTCAAAGTACATGTCAACAAGTGAATTAAGTCCTGATGTTACACACTCTGGCAGTTAAAATGTGGAAGAGAACATCTCAGACACTTTCGAACTTAAGCCATTAACCCATCTCAAACATCAATTTTAAAAACTACTTTAAATAGGTCAGTGGTGGAGCACATATTTAATCCCAGCACTAGGGCAGAGGCAGGTGGACCTGAGTTCAAAGCCAGAGTGAGTTGCAGGACAGCCCAGGGCTATACAGTGAGACTATCTCATAATGACCAAAACTAAAACAAAGCAAAATGAAAACATGAATTTATGCTCCCCCACCAAAGGAAGAAAAAGGAGTTAGAGAAACTGCACATATTAATTATCAAGTGATACCTCTGTACACGTACATACTTATATGATGCCAAAATCAGATCAAAAACTTTCTGTAGTTTGAATGTGGCCATGATTGCACAGAGGACTGGTGAGTAATCTAAAGGCCATCTTCAACCTTCACTGCCTCACCTACCATAACAATAGCTGAGTACTGCCTGCCCAACATCTCTTCTCTACACATGTATATGCTGTGCTCTGTGAGACAAAATCAGGTTGGGTTACAGAATTTTGGGAAAGTATAAGGTTTTCTGGTAAAAGAATTTAGAGGAAGAATATTAATGCCTTGATCTCTAAAATAATAGCCAAGGAAATAGCAGTAATGAAGCAATGAACTATGGGACAATAAAACTCAGGCTGGATGGGGTGGCACATACATGTCCTGCCAGTAAATGAGGCTGGGTCAGGAGATTGGGCCACAGACCAAAACCCTGCCTCAAAAGCACCTTATGACCCCACCACACCAAATTAAGAGGCATAATTGAAGACATGCAGAAGACTTCTCACACCATGAAGAGGACAGCCCAGCTTTACAAAACAAACAAACAAAACCTACTGTGTCTGTTCCTCACTCCCCAACTTCTCCCCTATAAGCAAAGTATGACTAATGGCAACTCCGCATGTGCAAACATCTGGGAAAGGAGAAAAGCAATAAGGAAGAAGAGAATGTTTGTATTAAAAACATTAAAAAAAATCTAAAGAGAAAAAATAGTAAACTATTAGATGCCTATGAAAACAACAATAAAACCCATGACTTTAATCCCAGCACCAAGGAGGCAAAGGTAGGCAGATCTGAGTTCGAGGCCTAGATCTAGGTTCGAGCCTGGTATACAGAGTGATTTCCAGGACAGTCAGGACTACACAGAGGAACAAACAAACAAACAAAAAAACAGAACAGACAAGAGCCACTCAATAATAACTAGCCTGTACTGTAATATCATTTAAACCATCAGGTAACATTTGTTTAATAAAAACATATGGAAGTAGAGATTGGGAGATATTACCGTCACAATCAAAATTCTACAAGGTCCCAACAATATACTTAAACATTTTTTATCATTCAGAATCAAGAAAAATATCTTTTCTCAAAAGGCCTGTATGTGCAAAAATTATAACCGTTTAATGAAAATAAAAGAGGCTTGAGGAGATGCTATTTGGATTGTGTGGGAAAGGGATGATCTATCCAAACCTCTTATTAAATATTCACTTCACCCCCTCTTTATTTGCTCAACAAAGGACAGTTAAGACCATTATGTGTTTCATATGTTTTTACATCTAAAAATTTGGAATGGAAGCAGAAAAGGGCTTGAGGCACAAAGAGGAATCAGCAGTTGGAGCAAAACCTCCCCCCGTTGTCCTTGTGAGGCACAAGGAAGAACTAGATTTCCAACCAGGGAAGTTGATACCTGACAAAATGTTGCACAACTCTAAAGACATGAAAAGTAGTTAATGGTGCCAATGCTGGCAGAGTAAAGAGCTAATATCTATGCAAAGCAGAGAGAGAGTAGTATCTCTGTGCCTTAAGTGGTGTGGTTGTTAGCTAGCATTATGTCAGTGCAGTGGAGATGCTGCTGTACAGAACCCACAAAGTTGAAAACACTCCCAAGAAATGAAGTCTCGGAGCCAACTGGCAGGCCTAGACTATTTTTAATTTGCAAGACTCAAAATGAATGAAAATGCTAATTCTGTTTTGTCTTGAAGATTTTTAACAGAGCTTAAAATAAGGAGCTCAGTCTGTTGGCCACTTTTTTCTGTCCCTGTATTTAATGGGAGAGATGGAAGGCAGACTAGGGGAGGTGCATTAAATAAGCAATAGGAAAGTAGGAAAAACAGAAAAAGGAGACCCTAAACAGAAAGACAAGTTCACCATGGCGGAGATCGGGATCTCAGCGCTCTCACATTTCTAAGTTTGAAATATGAGCTTAGCCTCCAAGGATGTTAAATATTTGACATTAATTTATTTGAAAAAGCAACCATTATAAAAAGCAGTGATTTTAAATTTCCTTTAGTATACTACTACTAAAATTTCCCTCATCAAAGACATGAAATCCTCCATGTTTTCTGACAATAATCTAACCACAAATTAACAGAAATATGAAGAAATGGAGACTAAACATGATCATTAAACAACACATTATTAAGAAACCCACAGATCAAAGGGAAAGTCTCAGAAAGACAGACACATGAAGCAAATGAAGGCAAACAAGAATACACAGTATGACAAAGTGCAAGGATCATACTACAGCTGCTCACCTGGGAAGGGCTCAGACACACGTGAGGATGGAGGGAGGACAGAAAAAACTGAATAGTTGAAGTAATAGAGTGACAAACAATAGTGATGGGAGATGTCATTATGTATATATGTTTCTCATACTGGTTAATGAATAAAGCACTGTTGGCCAATAGGAAAGGAGATAGGAGGGACTAGGAGACGAGGAAAGAGGAAGTAGGAAGGAGGGGTCAACATGGAGAGTCTGGAGAGAATAGAACCACCAGCCGCCTCTCGCTCATAAGACCACATGGAAATACATAGAAATGGGTTAATATTTAAGACAGAGCTAGCGGATAAGAAACAAGTAACGGGCCAACAGCATTGTATCAAATACAGAGTCTCTGTGTATTATTTGGGGCTGGCATGGCGGCAGGACAAGACCGGCAGCGGGCAGAAAAACCGTACTCCTTACACATTAAAGTAAAAACTAATGATAAGATAAAACAGACAAAAAACAGTAACTATTCCAAATTGAAAGAAAAATGGTTGGGTAGCAGTGGCACAAGCCTTTAATCCCAGCACTCAGGAGAGTGAGGCAGATGGGTCTCCGCGTTCAAGGCCAGTCTGGTCTACAAAGTGAGTTCCAGGACATCCAAAGCTACACAGAGAAACTCTATCCAAAACTGCACACGCACGCATGCACGCACACACGCACACACGCACACACACACACACACCTCCCACAGAACTGAAAAGGCCAAGAAAAGGATGCTCACCACAACAAAATGAGAAAGGAACAGAAAATGAACACCACAGGTCCAGCAAACATTATGCAGGAAAAATGGCAATAACTTGAACATTTGTATTTAAGTAAATTTAGAAACTGAGAAAAATCCAGCAATTCTGAAAAATTCACAAACAATCAGATACGGCCAAAGTGAACAGCCTTCTGAGAGCAGTCACAAAGACCCCACAGTGACTGGTTTGGTTTGAAGCCACTGAGCCCTGACAATGCAAATGGTACAGAAGAGAAACCTTCGGGTCTAGGGTCAGGCACACAGTTCTCCAGCCTGATAACATGAGAACTGGCTGTAAGTAATCTGTGGTGTGTCTCTAACCATGAAAAGGGCTACTGAGAAGAAATTCCACTGTTTGCTTTATAGATCATCCTATAAGAATGACTACATTGCTGAAGAAAAAAGCTGATGGATCTGTTTAACTCAAAAGCAAAAACAAGGCCTGGGAGCTAGCCCTGCACAGACATGAACACGAACACATACACATGTGTGCTCATACACACACACTCAATTAATGTAATAAGTAACTAGAATTTAAACGTTTCTAACAATTCCAGCAGCTGCAGAGGCAAGCCTCGTTTACATAGTTGAGTTCCAGGACAACCAAGGATACACAGTGAGACATGTCCAAAATTAATATGACAATTATATGTTATATAAAAATAAAATACGGTAAGTGTGGTGGCACAAAACAAATCTGAGTATTTGAGAGGTAGGGGCACATCAACTGAGAGTTTAAGGCTAGCCTGGGCTACAGGAAAGCCTGTCGTAAACACAACAACAAATTCTACAAAAGCTCCCAAATGCCCTTTAAAGGTGAGTGTTAACACAA